TGCAGCTCTGGGTTCTGGTGAGCTTTCTGTAATTTGCAAATCAAAACCAAACAAAATCACCCAACCAAATCTTTTCCAGGGACCTTCTGGATTTCCTCAGGCTATAAAAATGTTGAAGCCTCTAAACATACCAGACCTGTTTGCCTGCATTCCACGCCTATAGCCTACCTGTACCCTAAAGCTAAGATGAAACCATTATCTTACATTGATTCTTCCTAACAGGTTACATGTGAGACCTCTCGAATCAATATGATTTGAATAATATCTTTTAAACAGAGAAGGGTCACGGTAGAAGATTTTATAATTGGTCCTTTTTCTAGGGAGAGATGCAAATGCCTAAGTGTAAAGGAGACCAGACTCAAAAGATATTCAGGAATGTTGATCTTAGCACTATCAACATCTCCTTTTTGTCAGAAATGTCATCACAGAGGTGAAGTGAGTAGCAACTGTGAGTCACGATGGCAGCGTGGGCTCTGGCATGACAGGGAACTTGTTTTCTCACTGTCTGTCTCTTCCGTGAGCCGTCATCCCCCAACAGCTTGCTCACAGACTGCTGCCTTTCCAGACCACATGAGAGCAGGATTAAATTCTTAGCTGGGAGGCAATTTTGTGAGTGTTTACCAAGTAAGAACCACACCGTTGGTGTCTGATGAAATCCAAGCCCCTTTAATTGGCCTTTCCTTACAGCGGATGGGCGCACAGGACAAACCAGATCTCCTTGGAGCCAATTGTAAGAGCATCCAGAAAGGGCAAATATCAACCCTCTGTGTACAGAGGGGCTGTCTCAGCTTTGGTACCAACAGCGTATTTTATTTTCTCCGTTGCTAGTACTTTGCCCTGTCAGTGCCCTGTCTCCCTAGTAGAGATGGAAGAAGCTCACACTAAATCCCAACTATCTTGGTGAGCTTTCTGGAACATCTTTTATAGATGTATATTCTGATTTCTCATCATTTTGGCAGAGGACTAGAATACCTTGAGAGAAAAATCTTTGCTGCAGCGAAAAGCTGGGTATCTAAGGTCATAGGAAATGCCATCCCATACCAGCCTTGCCTCCCACAGAATCCTCCTTCTTGTGTCTTCCTGTAGCCAGTTAAGTCCTTTAAAGAACAGCACAAGAACCGTAGACAATTACAGCTAAGGGCCCAAATAAAGCTGTGCTACTATGAAATACATAAAGCTGTAATTTTTAATGCTGCTGTGCGTCCTACATGCTGTTTGGACTGACGCCCTCGGCACTGATCTGGCGCTTTACCTTTTTAAAGCACCATACCGCCATGAAATAGGTGCGGGAAGAAGCAGCGGGCATTTGGCGGCTAATCACCTGGCAAGTGTTCAAAGGCACGGGAGATGGCCAAGGTGACATCCATCTTTCTCTTCTGGGTCTTGCCGCTTAGCTGGATTATGTCATGTGGTTACTCTTGGGACAAAATGCGGAAGCATGTCCACATTGTCGTTGCTAATAAAAGGGGAAAGCAAGACCGCTGGTCGCTCTAGCTTGATGCTCTGGTGTACTGGCTTTGCCCTTTCTCACATAAGCTCTTCCCTACAGAAATCCTTTCCTTTGGCCTCCCGTTTTTTTTAACTTCTGGCCATTTACTGTGAAGAATTATTGATGTTTTCTGTAAAATTATCCTACAGGTTTGGGGTTTTTTTTTCTACAAACGCAGTAAGGGCTGTAGAGCTTTCCCTATCTGTGAAGCTGATCTGCAACCATGAGAAGGCTGTAGACCCCGGGTTTGGCTCACTCTATGTAACAGAAAAGGGAAACCTGTCAATCATCAAGAAATGCTGAGAGCAGCAACTGAAACACTTTGCCTTTTCCATCAGGCAACCAGGGCCTCTTCGAGGATTAAACCTCTTGCTAAATTTAGCTACATCTCACTAGAGTTAGTATCAGGAGTTATCAGATCAGAACATCTTTGGAGGGAATGACGTCTGTCCCGTGGAAGTCTAAGCCCTGGCGTGCTGCTCTCCTGCCCTGGGCTGCAGCGGAGTTTGGCGCCGGGAACATTCTGCACAGCAGCACAACATGGGACTCCCGAGACATCGTAGGATTCTTCAAAGCACTTGAAATACCTCCTCTCATCAGCCTGCTCCTTTATTGTTCCGTCCAGGTCCCGAGCAAAAACTTTTGGTAACACTGAAATGGACATTATGGGAGAGGAGAGTGGTTGAACCACATGAAACCTCCTAGTGCTTTTTTTCTGGAGGTTTTTTTTGAAATATGCATGAGGCTTGCACTGACCTTCTTTTCCATTGGTGGAGGCATACAGAGGCTGTAAATCCCACACTCCAATGCAACTTATATTCTCAGCTGCTCTGATAAATTAAGGAGTATTAATATTTTAAAAGAGTTAGATCTGGAGGGAGACAAGTGAAACCCTTCAGAAAATAAATAGCCCTTTGCAGGTCCTCATTTAGTGAGCCAGGCAGATCGACTGCGTCGTGTTTCCTCATCGCTCCCACCTCTGTGCCACGGCAGCAAGTTACTCCAGCCCTCTAGGAAAGGCCCAGCTACCATTTTCATCCTGGTTGAAGCACAGTCTTAAGGCAGAAGCATATGTACAGGTAAAACAGGGCTTCCCGGGGTGTAGAAGCAGCCCTGTAGAACCCTGTCTCCCAGCTGCTTTCTGAAAGATCCCTCTTTGCTTCTTGGGGTGCAGGATGCCTGGCTGGCATTGTACCAGAGACAACCAGTGCTGAGCCAGGGAAATTCAAGAAAGGTTCCGTATCTGTCACTATGAAAGGCTTCACTAAATGAAACTTGTGACTCTCCTTTATGGCAGTTGTCTTCTCAGTACTAAGCCCATTCCAGATAAGGTACTTTGAAGGTGTGCAGAGCTTTAACGTCTCTTGGAATATTTCTCCTATCTGCTCTTGGTTAGCAGCTATGATTTGACTCCAAAAGACTTTGAAGAGCAAGGGCTCTGGCACTAAAAAAGCAGCAGCTAAGGGGACCTGCTAAATAAATACTCACACTCATTCAAAACATTTTCATTTTTTTCAGTTTCAAATAGAAATACTGAAACTCCATATAAATATGCTAGAATTGAGTATGGTGTATATGTGTGTGTATGTTTACCTGTCCCAGGTGAATGTCCTTCCTCTCACAGTGACAAAGGGAAAGACACAGACAACTGGTATAAACACATAGGAAATTAGTTTCCTTATTTCTCTCCCTGAAACCTCAGAAAGTCTGCTTGGACGACAACACTACAAATAGAACAAAAGCAACAGACCTTTTACCATGTTCTTTCCATTTACAACATGCTCAGGCATACTCGTAGGACGTATCAAAGTCGGATCTCTTCAGTTAGAATCATTTTGTCATGGGGTCAAGGAGACTTTAAGTAGGTCAAGCAGCGTGTGGGTTCTGAGACTGGTAAAAGAAACACACGTATTTCCTCGAGTGCCAGTAGACAATCAGAGTCACTACACGATTTTTATTTGTTGACAGCTTTTATAAAACAAAGTTCCCCTTGAATCAGACATCTCATAAAACATTTATAGTCTTGTGCATGCTAGTGATACATCAGCTTTCAGTAGACCAGTATCTGCAAAACCAGACAGTTGAGTTGTCAGGTACAATTCCTGTTTTCTACTGAAGGGGAGGGAAACTCACAAAATTAAGGCACTGTCAAAACCCAAGCCCACAAATCATTTGACCTTTTGTACTGGCTTTCATCTGGTTGTATACAAGGAATTTATTTTTAATTAACCGTCAATTTTCGTTTTGAACAGGGACACACACACACACAAAAAAAAAAAAAACCCACAAATGCTTTTCTTAAATCCTATTTATATTCCCAGTTGCAAGATGACAGCAGCAAACTTTACTGCTCGGGATGGCAACATGCTTAACTGAAAGCCCCGTGCTACATCCCCATGCACGCCGTTTTCACCGCAGTGATCCCAGCCCTTGGACGATGACACTTAAGAACAAAAATCAGTTACAAGAACAGCTTAAAACTAGTCTAGTGTTAGTTTTCACTTGGCAGAACATGAACGGCCCAACAGACTCCCTGAGCCATGCACAGCATTTCGTGTTCTTCTTCACTCATTGGGCACAAGCTGCTTTCACAGACCAGTAGTTTGGCCGAAAGGACTCACAAAGGAGAGCGGGTATTTCCATCCGGTGTGCTTTTATCAGTCCTTTAAAGTAGCTTTAATGAGCTGGTGTGAAACCCCCTTCTTCAGCCTTTATATCTGAACTTAAGGATATAGGAAATGTTCCTTCCTGCATCCAGGGAGTGTTCCAGCTGTCCTTTAGCACCCCCAAAGCACTGCTGCAAGCACGAACCAGCATGTAGCTGTGGGCTTAGGACCACACTTAGAAGTAGTCAACTCTCTCTATAAAGATGCAACGTTTTAAAAAAGCCAGTTTCAGGTCCGTGAATTAGGTGCCCTGGCAATTACAAATAAATAGTAATAAATACTTATTTACACTCACACACAGTTCCTGTCTCCCACAGGATGACAAACAAACCAGAACCATGCTTCTTCCCTCGCTAAATATGATCAGGTTTGAGGTGGGACATACTGTTATTAACGACGTGCAGCAACACCACACAACAGTTTAGAATCCTAACAGTACCCACACATAGCACTGGGAGCATCTCACAGCTTCAAAGCTCTTGCAAGCACAGGGTGAGTTAAGAAAGTGACAATGTTCTGTCCGTTAAGAATCAGAGGGAGCTGAGGTGAGAGAAACAGAGTTTGGCCAGGACACCAGAGTTGATGTCCTTACTGCATATAAAATGTCACATGAATTGGAGATATGGCAGATGTGGGATCTAGGAAAAATTAGATCAGGCTCATATGAGACCATTTAACTTCCTTGAGTATGAAATCCAATTCCCACACTGATTGTGGCTAAACAGTTTGTTGGTTTTGTAGGCATCAAAAAGGTCAATGAAAACTCAAAAGAACTTAGGAGTTGCAGGAGCACAAACCATTACCTCCATTCATAAACACACACAGTGAAAGATTTTACATCAACTGAAAATGCTGCATCATCATCGCTGACAGCTTGGGCACTGGCACCCACTTACCATCCTGGCACAAATCTACAAATCCCTGAAAATACACTCAGAATAGAGAGACAGAGACCGAGAAGCAAGCAGCAGCACAGAGAGCACAAATGAAATTCAGGGACCTGCCTGGCAGTGTCCTGGCTTCCACCTCTTCTCTGGAGTCTGAGAGAGAAGGACTGGAGGATAAAGGAGGTCACAGGTAGCTTTGAGACTCGGCTCTGGAAGAATTTTCTTGGCCTGTTCACTGTGTGGTTGCTTTTTTATTCAGCTTTTTTTGCTTTCCGTTTCCTTGTGCCTTCATTTAGCTCCTCTTTTGACTTTGCAGGAGGAGGCGGAGGATGGGAAACCTCATGGGAGGCCCCATGCGGCTCATGATGATGACTGGTGTGTTCACTGGAAACGGAGCCAAAGAGAACTGGGCAGATGAAGCTTTCCACCGGAGCAAAAGGTGAGGCGTGAGAGTGAGTTGCCGTCATGAAAACCTGCCATGTGACAGTGAATATTAAAGTTAAAGCTCACGTACACCAGCTATGAAACCCTAACTAGTACGGAGCATTCCGCTTACCCCGATAAAGGTCCCATTGCTACACGACTCAAGGCTATATCACAAGTATCTTCTGCCCTACTATGATGGAGAATTTAGCCTGTAATATCCTGAGCAGATCTTTCCTGGTATGTACAGCCAACGCCTTCAATAGGGGCTTAGGGAGGTGGACACCCCCAGTTTAAGTCTGTACCCTTCCTCTGGTGGTGTAGATTCGTTAGCAGCAAGGCTGCTGTAAACTTACCTTGCAAATGATCATGAACATGGTGAAAAAGAAGATGAGGTTCGCTTCAGAGATAGGGAGCCAGCGAGTTTGTTGCAGAGTGAAGAGGACTGTGCCATACAGACTAGCCTTTGTAGGGCTAGAAGAGAAATAAAAGACGTTTTCTAGGCAGTTTGCATCCAGTCCTGAATGGTTCTTTAAATTCCATTTTTGGCCTGTCAGAGAATGTACAGGCTACCTACTTACAAGGACATATGAAGAATTTCGTTTGTTTCTGGCTTCCAGACCCCACGCAGCAGTTGCTCAAAGTTAGACATCAAGGCGACACCAGAACCTGTGAAACAGTAAAAGCAAACAGCTAGAACTGCCACACCAGAAGAGAGCTCCGCTGTCTTTTCTAGATCCCCAAGGGATAAGGATAACCTAAGGGGAACAAAAGGTTCGGGACATTCTTCCCCAGTTCAAAAGAAGTTACCCTAAAAAACAGCAGAGCAGGGCAAACGCTTTCTAGACTTTCTATAAAGTGTTCCCTGATGCAGGGAAAGGGCATTTGCTTCTGCTCCATTTACTGATGCTCAAACAAAAGCTAAAGGAAAACTCCTGGGGCCGTTTCAACACTGAAAAGAGACAGGCGAGGCCAGAGACAGCAGAACTCAGGAGAAAGAGTAACGAACTCCTGAATTCTACACCCGTATTTCCTGGTGACTCCTCCTCCGTTGAAGTTAGGTGACAACTCAACTGACAACCGTTCTGCGAGTACGAGTAAACACCTGTGCTCTCGGGAGCCTGACGGATCGAAGCCAGCTGACCACATCCACGAGCCAGCCTGCTGGTCAGCGCCGCGCGACGTGGTCACCTTAAGCTTCGCTCACAGACTCTCCCGTCCCTCCCCGCGGGGCTGGGTGCCTCCCTGGGCGCCTCCCTGCCGCATTAAGAGTATCTCACGTTTCACCTTTGACCCATCCGGTAGCCATCATGATGAACCAGCCGTGGTGGTAACGGTGATGGGCGTGGTGGACCCCAGCTGCAATTTTGCGAACTCTGACCACCTCCTTCATTGCCACAAAGATGAGCTTCATAGGCAGAAAGCTGACGCACTTGTAGAAGAGGTTCATGGGACAGAAGAATATCAAGTACCTGGAGCAAAACCACAGAGAGTTTAAGGACCCCTTTGTTCGTCCTGATCTGGGACGTATAGAGAGGACAGACTAAGAGTACTGTGGCATTCGCCAGAATTACGGCAGGGAGAAGGAAATGCCGGTTCTGTCGTGCAAAAGCGCGTACAACCCGCACGCACTGAGGAAATGAAAACTTGGGAGTGAGTAACCGCGGTAAATTTGTGCACATTTCACTAACAGGATGAATAAAATGCCCCCAAATCTTCGGTGTGTGCCTTTCCTCTGCTGCGTGTGGTGTCGGGGCAGCGCGTGCTGCTTTTGCGGGTTGGCCACAGCTGTGAACAGGAACGCCCCGTGACTGGACTGGACCCAACCCATGTAACCAAAGCATCAGACAACTGGTCAGAGAAACTGGAAACTAGGTCTAGGAACACAAAAGACTACCTCAGCCCAGCTCTTCTTTCCCCAGTGAATCCCAGCAAGGTAAGACACGCGTGTCACACAAACAGAATACCTCCCATCAGCGGCAGCTCGTGCTTCATCAACTGGGAGAAGTGCAAAAGACTCACCAGACTGCTGTGGCCAGGATGACGCTGGAGTTATTACTGAAGTAATGAATAGGTGGCTCTCCAAGTAACAGATCAGCCAGTATGTAACTTCCAAAGCAGTGGAGCATCGCACAAAGCCAGGAGGCAAAAGGGCTCTTACGAGACATCTCCACGGCTCCTGCGAAGCAAATTCTACATGAGAAGACGGATCCAGCAACTAAGCAGAAACTTCAAGACCCTCTAAGAAAGAGGCTTGCGGTGCACGTTGTCCAACAAAACGTCAAAGAAAAGTGCTTGTCAAACAACATACAAAGACGTGTGTTGTGCGAAACCTGAACGAGTACCAGGTATTGTCAAGAAATTATAGGTGTGATCTTGCAGGCCCCCCCGTAAGGTTTCAAATGAACTGAGTCATTACAATTGGCTAAGAGTTTATCTCCTATATTTGCTGCTACTTCCTGCAACCAGAAAGAACAATTTTCCCCTTGAAATCAAGGTCTATTTACAGTCTGAAAATAAAATGCATACTAGTACCATTCTCTCCATTGCTTCAACCTAGGTGCCCTCTAGAATTCATGAACAATCTGTTCAGCTCTTTCATTCATAAGATAACCTGTAAAAATAGAACAGTAATTCTTAATCTTTATTTGAAAGAAGAGGATTTGAGGATTCTTCCCTGCTCCTGTACTAGTTTGGAAATGCCCTCTAAAAACACAACCAGGTATTAAAACAGTGTTACTACTTGGTAGCACAATATGGTCTCCTCCCACAACTTTCTATTGCCTTTTTTTTATTCCTCCAGCCATTTCCATCCACCTCTCTACTTCTTCAGGGAAATCTCTCAAGAGCATCAATTCTGTAAGATTGTTCCATCACCTTAAACCGCTCCAGAGTCCTTTGTGCAGCATTTCAGAGACCAAACTGTTCAGTAAGCCAGTAACGGGCAGTGAAAGGAGAGAATGCTGAAATGTTATGTCAGCATTACCAACAGTGGCCAACCTTAAACAGCAGTGAGTGAATCAGCACATGCTGAAACTATGCTCAGACTCCTCCATCCTCAAAGACATTTGAACCAGCTGAAAACACAGTGGAACTGAGACAGCTGCAACAGCCGTGCTATGAAGCTGGTTCTATAGGAGCCTGAAGTTTAGCTGGAGGCTTAAATTTAGTAACGCTTGTTTTGCTTTGGCTCCGTGAAGCCACGCTGTCTCCAAGGAGGAAACAGGACGTTACTGTCCTGACACTGGTCTTCAGCCTAGGAGCTGTGGGATGAAGCTGTGTAGGAGTCTAGTGAAAAGTACACTCCAGCCGTACCCAGGCCACGTGGATGACTGGGCTTACATATTTCTAGAAGCTGTTTTCATAAGGGCTGCCTGTTAACTGTTCTGTTCAGGACATCGTGCTGGAAGACAGCTGTAAGCGATCAGGCCTCGAAAACCCGGCACTTGGGTTTACATGGAGTTCATACAGGACAGTGTGTAGGCTGTGCAGCACAGAGATCTCACAACTGGAGGATTTCAAAATCAGACCAAAGCGTGGGTTTGGTTTTTTTTCTCCTCGGTCCTCGGGCAGTTGCACTGAAACCGTTCAAAAGAGCACGAAGAGTGCACACACTCTCAAAAGTACATAGAGAAGGTGGCATTCGGGGAAGACCAAGGCACAGTCAGACTGCAACAGTGCGGAAAGTGAAAGCTAAGACGCAGATCTATTGATCGTCACAAGATAAGCCCAAGGGAACAAACAACGCAAGGTCAGTTAGGGTGCCTGAGAACAGATTACAGCGTGGTCTGGGAGGTGGGAAAAGCCCAAGGTTTTACTTACAGCCTGTTTGTACATAAATAGGGGACAGTATTGCCACAAAAATAGAAAAGCCAAGCACCTGGATGGAAACGTAACGCCAAGTTCTGCTGGGACAGCAGCAAAGAAGTGGCTGGACTTAAATACTCCAATGTGGCTGGAATGCAGTCTTAAATAAAGTTCAAGATTAATTTCAAAAGCAGAGTGACTAGTTCTGGGGTTTTTTTCCTGCCTTACATTTAGACACCCGTGTCAGAACCTCTGAGAACGCAGCGCAGCG